ACAGATAGTCAGGAGCCGTGGTCCTGAGTGGTTTTGCAAAACCTTGCCTAGTGTCCCTGTTCCCTGTCTTTCTGGAGAAAGCTGCTCTGGCCATGGTCACACCTAGTGGCGTAGTGTGGGGGGTGCAGGGGGGCCGGCCGCACCGGGCGCAACATCTGGGGGTTAGGGTTAGGGTGCGCAAATCCACGGGTTAGGGGGCGCAAATTACTTGCCTTGCCCCGGGTGCTGACAACCCACGCTACGCCACTGGTCACACCTGCTGCCCATGTAGCATCTCAACTGGATTACTGAGGCTCACTCTATGCAGGGCTGCCTTGTTTTGGCCACACTGACCCTTTCTCGCATGAGGCAGGTCTGGCAGAGCCAGGTGCTCCCCTGAAACCCTGGAAAGGGAATCCTTCTTTCTGGTGAAGAGAGGTGGGGAACCTCTGGCCCTCCAGTCATTGCCAAACTACAGCCCTCGTCTCCTCTGCTTCCTGCAGCTGCTGAGATTTGTAGTTCAGATTCAAAGCGTTCCCCATTCCTGCTCGAGGGACGACCCTCTGCTAGATGGTCAGATGCATTAAAAGGAGCTCCCTGTCTTCTGAATGTAATGCAGGGTACAGATCTGGTCTCCTAACCTCAAAAAATATATTGGAGAGTGGAAAAGGGCAGCCCTAATGATCAAGGGATTGCAGAAAGTTTGCAGTTTTGGGGACTTTTTAGTTGAGAAGAAAAGCGAAGAAGGGTCAAAATAGCGGGGAGGGGAGGTAGAATCTTTCAGCATTTCCTATTTCAAAATCCTTATTGAATTTATTCTGCCTCATTCAGCCTAATATCCCAGGCCAGGCTACGGCAATTAAACAATGTTAATTCAAACTCTTATTTCTTTAGGAATCCACATATTTCTGAAATTATCTATGAAAATGTCTCATTTCAGATTTTAAAGCTTCCTTCAAGATGTCCAGTATCAGCCCCTATCTGTGGCAGCAATTGCCACCCATGAATGGAACTATTTCTATTGATTTTACTATTACTATTACTGCCACAACTCCAACAGAGAGATACGTTATCGTGGTTTAACCTCTTTCTCTCTGAGGATTCCCTTCTGCTGCCTCCTTGGACGCTCCAGGTGACCTCATGTTCTGAAGAGAAGGCAGAGTTTCAGCGGCACTCACAATATGGACCCAACTGAGAATCGTCCACATTCCCCATCCTAAAGGGAAGCTCCAAGCGGAAAACTGAGATGACAAACCTGGATATGATTTGCTTTCTTTTCAGGGCAGGAAGTCAGGAATGATGAGCATCTGGGATCCAAAGCAAAGATGGTCTCAGGTGCTCATCTTTTCTGACACCTGCAGCTGCCAATGCCTCACCTTTGCTCAGTTGCCCTTGACTGCTCCTTTGCACATCTCCCTTCTTCCTCTGCTATCTCTCCTCCCTTTATGCCCAGCAACCCTCCATTCTCTGAGTCTGAATAAGGAGAGCCTCTGGATCTGCACATCTTCCAGTGAGTTCCTAACTGGGAACTTTTTAGCCATTTGGGCAGGAGAAAAGGAAAGTCTGGGGAGAACCAACCACCCGTCTTCCTTCCTTCCTTCCTTCCTTCCTTCCTTCCTTCCTTCCTTCCTTCCTTCCTTGTGCTTGACCACCTCTCTTTAGAGATATTTTGTTTTCTCACAATCTGTATCACCTCAATAGTGAATGTGCTCTTTACTCGGAATGGGATGTGTTTATTTTTCTTCTCCCGCTTAAACTGCTGACCACAGAGAAGGTTCCTTCCTTTCTTCTCCTCTATTAAAGCTTCACTGCAGCATCACAGATGTGTCTTGTCTTTCACCTTCCTGGAACTTGGTCCACCGTCGCCAAAACCCCCAAGCCTCACCCCAAACCCGTGTCCTGTGATGTGTGAATGACCCGTGTCCTGACCCCCCCCCCAGTGATATCCCCAAAAACCAGCTCTCAGGAAGTCCATGCCAAGCCGGCAGCGCTTGAGATGAAGGAGGAATTCCCAGCCACCGTTTGTGCCATTCCAGGCTCTGCAGTCCTGTGGAGTTCAACCCAAAGAGTACTTTTAACCTCAACTAGGAATCAAGAAGAAGGTCATTTCAGTTTGTATTTAAAAGCGAATCTATCTAACTCACAGCCACCCTCCGGAATTTGCACTTATTTGAATCTGTGATGCAGTTCCCCATCCAAACATTATTTATTTTAAAAAGAGCATCTGTTAAGGGATAAGTGTGCACAAGAATGAATTTATTAGTGCAGATTAGCAGATTAGTTGCGCTGCAGAAGGCATGCTGGGGAGACCACACATTACAAGGAACGCAGAAATAACTTTTGCTAGGTTTTAATAACAAAAACAAAAGCTCCTTTTACAATATATCAATAAGCATGACCCGTCCACCAGGGTACTGAGAGAGCTAGGTGCTGCTCTTTATATACTATACCCAACAGCTTAATTAACATAACTTAACAGCACCTGCTATACTGCTTCACAGCTGTAAAACTAGGTCACGTTATTTGCTCTGGCCCTTAAAGGAATACACACCTTGTGGAACAATAATGGACCTTCGAATTTAAAGAGACCATTCGACACAGATAGCATACAATAATGTATTGTACCAGGGGGATTTTGCATATTAGTCAAAATGTTTTTACTAGGAGAAAGTTTCACAAGGAAGTTTATAAAAATTGCAAACTGCTGCAGACCTGTAGGGATCCGGATTTTCATTTTAAAAGAATGGGGAACAGAGAGAAGCAAAGCCGACAGATTAAACTCAACCAGTTTTCCTGGGCCAAAAGTACAGCATATTCCCCTCGTGTAATGCGCAGGATGAAAGTGGGTTTTGGGGCAGCAGCGAGCTTCACAGGTGGACTCCCTGTGTCTGTTCTGCACCTGAGCAGCAGCCTCAATGCGCAATATGGCCTCTCTTGCAATCTTCTTCTGGAATCTGCAGTCACCTTGGCAGTTCTTTAAGACATTGAGCACTTCTGGGGGCAAAGACATCACTTTGCCATGACCCGGTTGCTTCAAAACCCACCTGAGGACCAGAACACGTCCCAGGCAGGAGCACCTCTGCCTGCATGGCTAAATTCCTGCTTTCTGGACCAAACTCAGGAATTGCATACCTTCAGTCGCTTAGGGCCTCATCAAACCTACCGTATTTTTTCGCTCTATAAGACGCACCAGACCACAAGACGCACCTAATTTTTGGAGGAGGAAAACAAGAAAAAGAATATTCTGAATCTCAGAAGCCAGAAGAGCAAGAGGGATCGGTGCGCAGTGAAAGCAGCAATCCATCTTGCTGTTCTGGCTTCTGGGATAGCTGCGCAGCCTGCATTCACTCCATAAGACGCACACACATTCCCCCTTACTTTTTAGGAGGGAAGAAGTGAGTCTTATAGAGCAAAAAATACGGTAAATCTGCCCCTGTTCCTTTGAAGGGGTTAATCCTTGCCACACACACACACACCCCGCATCTACAGATACTTACAGAGGTGGACCAATGGCATTAAGGCAGCTTTGCAAGAATAAATACATACATCACAGTCGCTTTGAAAAACGGGAACACAAACTATAGTACAAAATACGGTCATGTAATGCCCAAGACAACAGCAAATCATAAACAAAAGTGAGAAATGGAACAATATGTTGCAGAAGTGGTCCCGTCCTTGTTTCCAACAAGTCCATTTCAGAGGCCCCCAACTCCAATTTTCATCTAGAATATTGTGTCACTGAACACACCCAGGCCCCTAAACCAGCCACTTTCCCTATCTACCTATCTATCTACCTATCTATCTATCTACAGTCGTACCTTGAAAGTCGAACGGAATCTGTTCCAGAAGTCCGTTCGACTTCCAAAACGTTTGAAAACCAAATTGGGGCTTCTGATTGGCTGCAGGAAGCCACGGAAGCCGCGTTGGACATTCAGGTTCCAAAGAACGTCCTCAAACCGGAACAATCACTTCCAGGGTTGCAGCGTTTGGGAGCCAAAACGTCTGAGTTCCAGAGTGTTCGACAACCAAGGTACGACTGCGTCTGCCTGTCTGTCTATTCTGTGAACTTTGGTTCCCCCTAACCCAGCTGTGCCTCCGTCTTTGGCGTGGTTACAACAGAAACTACTCATTATGATGTCTGTGTATTAAAAATGGAGGAAAGGAGGAGAAACAGTAGCATAGAAAAGCAAACCCATGGTCCACAGTACTCCTGTCAGGAGTGCATGCAGGAGCCAGGCCCTGTGACCGGGAGGGCTTCGCAGGACTGGGGCCTTCCTAAGTTTGTTCTGGAGAGGCAAGGTGCGGCTGCAAAGGTGAGGCTCTCTGCCACAGCAACACGTTTCCTGCCTTGCTGCGTTTGGCTTCTTGCTTCCTGATCCTCGGACCTCGGCTTCTTGACTCCTTGCTTCTCGACCCTCGGACCCTTGACTTTGTGACTCCTTGCTTCTTGCCCCTTGGACCCTTGACTTTGTGACTCCTTGCTTCTTGCCCCTTGGACCCTTGACTTCGTGACTCCTTGCTTCTTGACCCTCGGACCCTGGCTTCTGGACTCTCAGTCTTGCCCCCACTCTTGCCCCCAGTCCCGACGTCCTCAGCTGGGACTTCGATCACCCGTAGACTGGACTGTGACACCTCCTGACAAGGCCTAAGTCGATAGCTGTTTGAAAGAAGAGAAATCTATTTTTTTCTTTTTGCAAAAACAGAGAATCGGAAGGTAAAGCAGCTATTAGCAGGGCTCTTCTTAAAAGTTTCCTCCTCTTGCAATCAAAGAGGCTTCCATTTTCCTCCTGATTCTCAGAGCTCTTCAGAAGTTCTTTAGAAATTTGGTGGCTTTGAGGGTTTGGGGCTGATCTTATCACTGCCAGGTGACTGAGGGCTTTTTCTGAGTAAAAGTTTCCCTGGAACTTCAGAGGCCCCCAAGCTGTCAGCACTTCCGGACCTCAGACACGCCTTGCGATGCCTTGATCTGCAAAACTACCACAAGAATGTGTGGGACTATTCATGAGGCTCTGTCACTATGGGCAAATCCGCTTGGTTTTTGTCATCGTCTCCCCCAGTAAAACGCCTCTGTGAATTGAACTTCTGTTGCAGAAACTGTTCCCCCTAGACTGACCCTCTCTGGCAGAGGAAGTAGGAACAATTCTCTTTCGTTCTTAGCGAAGTACATTTCTAATTATAAATCATATGCTGTGATAGAAGGTCTGATAATGTATTGGCAATAAAATAAAAAAGGGAAACAGAAAAGGGAAGTTACTTTAAAAAAAAGGGGGGGGAAGCATTGACCTGTTCTCAAAAGGGAATCGGTAATAGATAGATATAATTTATCCCCGCATCTTCCCTTGAAATCTCCAGTACTAACATAATGAGTGTGCATAATGTCAAAATGGAACTCTAAGTGGTTTATAAGCTCCATATGGTGCCTGCATGTCTGCCTTTCAGACAATTCACTAATGGTTTCTTTTTTCCTTTTTTTTTTCGCAGTGGGGACCAGAAATTGCCTTTCACAGACTTCCTCTTGGCCCAGCACACCTAGTGCGCTGTTTTAAAAATAAATAAGCAAGTAATTCTGAATTTCTGCAAATACGTATTTGATTCAAGACTGCAAACTGACCAAATTTAAAACAGAGTAAGATGCTTTGATTGGGGCTGGATTCTACAGACGGTGGGAAAAGTAAGCAAGGAAGCTATTTAACCAATTGCATTCATGTATTTGGCAGGAAGTGGAATGTATACAGCAGCGATTCCTGAGATTTCAGCAGCCCAGGCTTCCGTGGTAATGGAAAGATGCCTTGAAAATTTGGAATTCCCCGTTTCATCAGACCTGCAGGGAAAAGGGAAACAGAAAGAAATGTACAATCTATGGTTTGTTTTTTTAATTGCAGGGGGCACCAGTTTCAAGAAACTGCCACTCCCTTTCCCAGTCCGAACTGGACTGACTTGGTGGAAATAACCCAAGCTTGTTTCCTAAGCCAGTCTGAACTTAGAAAGCACCCACCATCTCCCACCCAGCCAATATCCTTTTCCTCTAAAGCTCCTCTGCCCAGGGGCAGAGGAAGGGGTGTGTGGTGGGGGTGGTATGCCCCAGGTGCTTCACTGAGGGGGGGGTAACTTTTGGCACGCCTCCCACCCGTGACTCCCAAGCCTACCCCGAGCCATTGGGGGGAAGGGGGGAGCTGTGCCCCTTTGCCAGCTTTATCCCTCCTTTCCCCCTTTGTTTGACAGCTGGGGGAGGCTTGGGAGTCGTGGGCAAGCGGCGCGTCGAATGTCCACCATTGGCGGCTCGCGGCTCCCCTGGATGCAGGGTGCGTGCGCTGCTCCGCACACCCGAGTGGCTCTGTTCCGCCGCTGCCGCTGCCTTCGCTTTTATGAGGTCATCACTTGGTTCAACCCTTCCCAACCCCAGTGTAAGTCAAGACCCAGATAAAACACCTTAAGAGAGACCATCATCTCAGAAGCAGACAGCTCGCTTTGCACCCCTCAGGTTTGTAGCACTTCTTTTCTGAGGAAGAACGTCTGGGAAGTTCCCTGTGCCCTTTGCATTGAATTTTGCACAACAGCTGGCTGTCACCCTTTGCAGTTCTGCTGTGGTTGACCACACACACACGGTAATTTGTTTTGTGGAGTGTTTGTTCTTGGCTTCATGCAAGAGCAACAGAACATTTTGTCCTGGTGACCTGTTCGGTCCCCTTTTTAAAGCACACTTTTTCTCTCCTGGCTTTGGTCAGAGAGACTGTCCTTTTTTTATATGACAAAGTGCGGTTCTCGCTCTTGAATTTGACAGCGACTCACTCATTCATTCTTTCACAAATGTGAAGGAGCTAAAAGGAAGTGGGAGGTGGGACAGAGAGTGATATCTGATCAGTTAAGTGAAAGCGAGCTTAAAAGTCAAAACTGAAGATGCTTGGAGTATTTTCATCTTTGCTCATCAAGGTTGGAAAAATGTGCGCTTTGCTGAGAGATGTATGGTTTCGGGGATGCTGTGTATTTATTATTATTTTTTACCTTTTTTTAAATTAAGTACAAATTAGGAAACATACATATTCACAATGAAATAAAATACAAAAGAAAATGAAAATACATCTAACCAAGGAAAAAGAATTAAATAATATTTTGTCTCTTTTCATATTTACAGTTATTTATACCTCTATAAAATGCTATTCACAATAAAGCAGTGAAAGGAAAGATATCAGAAAAAAGAAAAAAAGAACAAAGAAAGAATAAAGAAGTAAAAGAAAAAGATCCTAAGTGAAATTTTTTTTTAAGTAGATAAGTACTCACAATACATAGCCGTTTCCCATCTATATTTATATTATATTTTATATATATATTTTATATTTTATATTTATATTTATATTCAATTGTATAATTTCATCTTGTCCTTATCTACCTTAAATAAATTGTTGTGTATTGTAGCCCATAAATTCAGAAGCTGCAGAAGCCCCGTCAGACGTTCGGGTTCCAAAAAACGTTTGCAAACCGGAACACTCACATCCGGGTTTGCGGCATTCGGGAGCCAAAACGTCCGAGTACCAAGGTGTTCAGGATCCAATGTACGACTGTATAGGATTGCTTTCAGACGGCTCAGGGGGCGGATAACTCCATACCCTCCAACATTTCTCCAGTGAAAACAGAGATGTCCTAAGGGAAAGCGGGGCATTCCGGGATCAAATCAGAAAACAGGACTGCTTCTCTAAATCATGGACATCCCTGGAAAATAGGGACACTTAGAGGGTATGTTAGCATGAATTCCCCCTGTTCCGAATTGCAGCCTCACCTTGCTCACGTGACCTGTTCAGAATGACGTGCGGGTGGTTGGAGCTCCGCATACACTGTTGAAAGTGACATTGGGGTATCTTGGAGATGAGTCTGTTCCTGAAAGAGGGAAACAAAATGATATCCTTTACAGACCCTGTGCTAAAACCATCTGAACTCCTGTACTTGGATGATGCACGGTGAATGGCTGAGATTAGCCGAGCTGCATGTGTGATTCTCTTATATCATTTATGGTGGCCTTTGGGAGCCACTGAGAACGGAGGTGTGGGGGCTACACAAGACTTTGGATCTTGCAAACGCTGCTCATCTTTCCCAAAATCTTGCGGGAGATTTTGAGGAGTGGACCTGGGACCTTCTTTCAGGCAACGTGCGGGTTCTGCTATTCAGGTATGTCCCCTGAAAACACGGCTGTAGTCATCTCAGATGCTCTAAACCAAGAAAGGAGAGGCAGAAAATTCTAGGCGAGGTGGAGTGCAAAAAGCAAAGAGGCCTACAAAAGCAAGGATGAACAGATGACGGACAGGAAGAAAACCGGCTTGCTGTTGCGTCTCGAGGCCTCACGACCCACCCCCAAAATAAATACACACTTATATTAGTTTAAGTTTTGGGGCAAAATTTTTGGCCACAACTTTCTTGAAATACAATCACGTGAGCGGTATTGGTTTAGGCATTGACTCCCCACTATAACTGGCTCCACCTCTCAGGGTGATTGTCAAATGGGGTAAACCAAACAAGGGAGCTAAGTCGATGAGGACCAACCGAAGCTCACCCCGGGGTTCCTGTGGTGCTTGCATGGCCCTAGCCCCTCAAGCGGACTTCGGACGAGATCCAGGACCCCCAGATTCCTTTAACGGAATACCCAGTTCCTGGAGGGGCAGGTGATGGCCGCACCTCCCCTCCCCACAATCCAACTGAGCCAATGCCTAACCGCCACCTTACAAGTTGTGATGATTTGCTAAGGGGTAGGCAAAAAAGCAAATGGCTAAAGCCAACCTGCCAAATGGAAAAATTCATACCCAGCCCCTGTTCCAAAACAGGTGACCCAAACCAAAGCGAGGCCAAGCGACTCTACCTAAACTAGGGAGGGTGGGCGAAACTAGGAAGGGTGCGAAACAAGTGCCCTTCCTTGTATCACACTGCTGTTTTTAAAGCCCCAGGGATCATGCCACTCACTGGCTATTGGCTAAAATCGCCTGGTGTGATCCCAGGGGAATGGCCAGGGCTTCTTGCTCCTCCCCCCCATTTTAACCCTATCAGGTGAGCTCTTGGGTCCCGCGCGCAACCAGGACCCTCTGTTATGAGGATCCCATATAGCAGCTTCCAGAGAGAGAGCAAGGGGTTTATATTGAGGAACCAAACAGGGGAAAGTGTTGAATCGGGGTTGGGCAACCTGTGCCCCTATAGAAGTTGTTGAACAGGACCTCTCATCCTCCCTGACCGCTAGTCTTGGGTGACAGGAGCTGCAACACCTGGGGGACCAGAGGTTTAAGGAATAAAGGAGGGATGGGGAACTGGTGGCCGTCCAGATGTTGTTGGATAGCTCCCAGTAGCATTTGGACACCCGCAGATGTTCCCCATTCATGCTTCACTGCCTGGATCAGGGATGGGGTCCTAGTGTCCCTCCCCCCCAGGCATTGCTGAGCTACAACTCCCAGTAGCCTCAGCTGCTGGCACAGCCAATGGTCAGGTGTCAGGCTTCAGTGAACCCAACCCCCCCCCCCCCGGCAGGCTGCTGGGGGCTGGAGCCACAGGTGAGAGCTGAGTGCAGGATAAAGTATGACGTATCCCCCACCAGAAGTACTACCTCTCCCCTAATACCCTCAGGTTGCATATACAGTGGTACCTCGGGCTAAGAACTTAATTTGTTCTGGAGGTCCGTTCTTAACCTGAAACTGTTCTTAACCTGAACCACCGCTTTAGCCAATGGGGCCTCCTGCTGCTGCCACACCGCCAGAGCACGATTTCTGTTCTCATCCTGAAGCAAAGTTCTTAACCAGAGGTAATATTTCTGGGTTAGTGGAGTCTGTAACCTGAAGCGTATGTAACCTGAAGCATATGTAACCTGAAGCATATGTAACCCAAGGTACCACTGTATGTGTAAATAAAATCATGCATCCCAAAGACTGCATAGTCTCCATTCACCTTCATTTGCAAGGAAACCGAACCCCTGAAATCTCCCCCACCTGTTTGGAGACTGGGATGCCTGCAGCATCTTCAAGATTCACCCTACCAGTCATCTACCCAGATGTTTTCTCATCCTAGTGTTCATTGTACATAACTAAAAAAATGGGTTGTATCCAATGTTGGTTCTACTCAAAGTAGACCCACTGAAATTAAAAGGTGTGATGCAACCCAGTGAGTGCTACTCTGTGTATGCCTAACAATGGATTTATATCTAGCAGCTGCTAAGGGGTCATTTCCAACATATGATTAGGGCTATTAGGGCACTGTACAAATATCATTTCCCCTGCACAAACATGGTTGCCTAGAGGAAGTTGAGTGTTTCCCATCTGTCTATCGATTTGCATCATAAATAAGCAAAGCGTGTCCTATAAGGTGGAATTTACCGACTTAGAAATAACAAGCTGTTATCTCGTTACTTCCTCGTTACTTTATTTTCATAACAATGAATATATTTCCCCTGTTTCTTTTGCAGAAGCACCAAACAACCTCAATGCCCCCTAAATGGAAAGCCTTGCAGGATTTGCAGCTTTCACTTTTGTATAAATAGATGTGCAGTTTAGCATTAGCTGAAAAAATATTCACTATTGCTTTTGTCCGAACCCTGTCAAGGGGATAGGGCCACGCAAGAGGCCCTGGTTGCATTTGGGGAAGGCTGAGGGCTACCCCCAAATGTATTCCCCTTTTCTGACTTGCGAAATGTCAGATAGTCACAACCAATGCCTAAGCAACCACTCACATTTTTTGTATTTTAATAAAGTTGTGGCCAAAATTATGCCAAAAAACCTTAAACAAAAATTCTGTGTGGTGTGTGAATTATTTGGGGTGGCCTGGGGACCTCGACACGCAAAAGTTAACCTAAGCTGACAGGACACTCTCAGCATCTGTGAATGAGGGTGTATAGGTGCTTGGGTTAACATGTTTGTTCAGGAAGGAAGCAGTCTTCTATTCCAAGAAACTGGATTTCCTGTGGGTTTCCTCTGAGCTCCCCAAACAACGTTTGGGGAGCTGGGTAAGTGCCGTGGTTATTTGTTTTATGCAATACAGTAAATTTGTGGAAACTTCCTCTGAATAGCATTGTTTTCGAGGCAGCCTTCACTTCCAAAACAGAAACAAACATGCAAATTACAAACGAAGGAAGAGAGAAAAGACAACAACTATAAACAGAAACATTTATTCTAAGCAACTGTAGAACAAGAACAGACTGAAAGAGCCAGCTGATTCCTGTCCTGTGATTCAACAAAATGGGGAAAGAAAACCGTATTTTCGTTTGCCAACCTGCGTTCATGTGGACAGACTGTAGGTGCAGAGAGCTAGAGAACGAGTAGGTTTTCAGTACTGAGACAGCTTCATCCTCAGCTACCACCTGCAATGCCTGGGACGCGGGTGTGCTGTGGGTTAAACCACAGAGCCTAGGACTTGCCGATCAGAAGGTCGGCAGTTCGAATCCCCATGATGGGGTGAGCTCCCGTTGCTCGGTCCCTGCTCCTGCCAACCTAGCAGGTCAAAAGCACATCAAAGTGCAAGTAGATAAATAGGTACCACTCAGGTGGGAAGGTAAACAGCGTTTCCGTGCATTGCTCTGGTTCGCCAGAAGCAGCTTAGTCATGCTGGTCACATGACCCGGAAGCTGTACGCCGGCCCCCTTGGCCAATAAAGCGAGATGAGCGCCGCAACCCCAGAGTCGGTCACGACTGGACCTAATGGTCAGGGGTCCCTTTACCTTTACCACCTGCAACCTCAGAACAGCGGTATTAAAACAAGCATCTCTCCTGATGACCAGTGTACAGAGCAGGTTGAAAAGGGGTGGGGGGGCAGGGGTCTAAGGCAAAGGGCTCTGGTTCAGATCTCTGGACCTCTTGAAAGAGGAGCAGAAGCCAGAACACCCACACAGCAGAAATGACATTTGCCATCTATTTCTGCTTTGCATTTGCTGCTGCTATCTTTGCAAGCCACCCTAGAGTGGCTGGGGAAACTCAGCCAGATGGGCGAGGTATAAATAATAAGAGAGATGATGAACTGCTTGTGGGGGAGGACTCAGCTGGGGCAGGTGGAAGTGCAGAGTGCAGAGTGCCTTGCTGAACACGAGCATATTTGGTAAGGATATTTAAACGTACATAATTTTGCCACTTCAATTGTGACTTCACTAGTGGAGCCTGGTGAAATGAGGGAGAACTGTAAAAGTTACCAGGGACTAGGACTTTCCCAGGTGTCAAAAAAGATTATTTATGTATGCCACCACTGCGTCCCGTGTTTCGTTAGCCCCCAGATGGAAAATGAGCGAGGTCCCAACTAAAGAAGAATGGCAACATAAACTGATGGAACATGCGCAGCTTGCGGAACTAATGCATAGTATAACAGAACAAGAAGAACACACGTTTAAAGAAGATTGGAAAACGTTTATTGAATATATGGGGGGGGGAATTGTGTGCACTTGAGAATGTTGGCAGCATTAAGATAAATCCAACAGTGTAAACAAGTTTTGATGGATGTAATAATGAAATACTGAGTGGTTTAGCTTATGTAAAATATGATATGCAAAATGAACCATGGAAAAAGAAGAGGGGAAGTCACTGGCATTTTAAGGTTGTTTGAATGAATATTCTAAAGTGTGAAACAGAAAATTCAATTAAAAAAATATATAGATATAAATATCTACCTATCTCGATATCTCGATATCAATATCGATGTATAGATATATAGCTATGTATATGTATAGTCACCAGGGACTCATCTACATTGGTAAAAAAAAAAGTTTTAAAATGCATTATAACATTGTGACACCAGATGGCGGTGTAGAGTTCCGTCTTTAGGCAACGTGGTTTCCTCTTATGAGGTTTACAATACATTTTCCCTGAAACTTTTTTTTATGTGTCTAGATCCAGCCCAGATCTGCCCCAAACATTAATTAAAATGGGTGCCTTATATAAGGCGTGAACGCCCTATAATATGAACAGTACAGTAATACATGCTCAAGCGTTTTAATGCAGAGCAGACACATAGATGTTGAGTGTAAATATTTCCCTTCCAATAGTGAAGATGGTAAGGGCTTAAAGGGGGTCTTACGAACTAGGCCATATCACCACCACCACTGGGATTGCCATGATCATCTCCATCACCACCGCAATTTCCATCACCCCCACCATTCTGTTCTCACCTGGTCATCATCGCCTTCTGGGGGGCTTCTCTTTGCAACCTCTGAGTACTGAAGCTCAGGAAGTGGCTCCTCCCTTGGCATCATGGAGGTAGCTGCAGAGGGGAACATAGACATTTACTCTATTGGGTCACCCACATCTGCCTAGCAGATTCAGGTAGGTAGCCGTGTTGGTTTGACACAGTCGAAATAAATTATTTTATTTTTTTTAATCCAGTAGCATCTTAGGGACCAACCAAGTTTGTTCTGGGTATAAGCTTTCGTGTGCATGCACACTTCTTCAGATACACTGAAACAGAAGTCACCAGACCCTGGTATATAGTGGGAGGGTGGGGTGGGGTTTTTCTCAGGAGGGTAGTAGGAGATGGGCGATTGACCCAATGGGTATGGTAAACCTGTTGACGACTGTTAACAACTGCAATTAGTCCTATAAGAAAAAGCAAGGGATAGTATGCAGATGTCCAAAAATAGCTTTAGCATATGTGATGTAACGTCTCATTACATATGCCAAATATGCTAAATATGTCTCATTACATATGCTAATTACACACACTGTGTTTCCGTGCACTGCTCTGGTTCGCCCGAAGCGGCTTAGTCATGCTGGTCACATGACCCGGAAGCTGTACGCCGGCTCCCTCGGCCAATAAAGCGAGATGAGCGCCGCAACCCCAGAGTTGGCCATGACTGGACCTAATGGTCAGGGGTCCCTTTACTTAAGGGTACAGAACTATGTATAGGAACCCTAAACCCCCACTGAAAGGGACTCAAGTTTCACAGAGATAAGCTGTGGGGGGCAGGATGGTCATCCCAACAGATTATTCGGTCGGTTCCCTCAAGACTTTCCTTCTGCTCTTACGAAAAGCTTCCTACCTCTGTTGGGTGGCATCTTCCTTCTTTTCTTCCAGGTCTTTAGCCCAAATCCAGCCAAGAGGAGCAAAATTACGAATAAAATGATGAGAAAAGTCCAGCTCCAGCTCCAATGCAGTCCAGGTTGATTGCCACCTGTAAAGATTGGATAAATAATAGTTTTTTCGTGCCAGATATTGGAAGACCTCTAAAATGTTTGGCAATACGAGCTCTGAAGGGAGAACCCACAGCTCATTAGTGGGTTGCGTGGACCATAGCTGTCAACATTTTCCTTTTTTAAAGGGAAATTCCCTTATTCTGAATAGGATTCCTCGCAAGAAAAGGGAAAAGATGACAGCTATGGCATGGACAAGGGTCTCGGCTAGAGCTGTACACAAACAGCTTCTTGAAAGCCTCCACGTATCTGATGGGATCAGAGCTACCTCAGCAATATAGAAACTTATTTATGTATACAGCTACAGCCACAGGAAGATATTTGCCCAAAAATGGATAGAAGAAGTTCCGATGAGAAAAGAATGGTTACAGAAAATAATGGGATATGCAGAAATGGCAAAACTTACTAGAATAATTAGAAATCAAGACAACCTTTTTTTATTATTAAGGAACGGAAGTGGTTTATTGAATATTTACAAACAAATTGCAAACAGGTCATTAAGACGTTAGCAGGTCTACTGTGAAAACTTGCAGTTTTTAAAACAGATATAGAGGAATAAAAAGAATATTGCGGGGTAAAAAAGTTTCACCCAGTGGTTATCTGCAGTTATCCATCTCCCATTCCTGATCACTTCACCTAGGTTCCTATTTCTTTCCTTGCTGCTTTCTCATTATTATATGTATTTAGAGGTAAATTATTATTATTCTTACTATTATTATGTAGTTTATAAGCTATGCTGAGAGTGCTTGAATGGCTGTGAAATCCTTTCATTGTTAGAGAGCTCCATTCATTGCTAAAGCTGCTGTTTTCCATGGAAAGAAAACCTACATGTCATAATCCCCAGATATTTTCTCATGCAGATGTTGGCTTGATGGCTGCCAATGAATGACCTTCTTGCTGCTCTGAGAAAGCAAGTTCAAATAAAGGTTAGTTCCAACAGTGTATTTTAGACTTGGAGATGAAAAACACAGCTGGGTCTGTGAAGTGGAAAAGAAGTTGAATGTTTTGGACTTTATGGGAGAAATCTGTCCCACAGCAGGCTTGTTGGACGACACTATCTCTGGGTGTAATATATACGTATCTAGGGAGACTTTCAGATAACCACTGTTATAAATATGCTTTAAAATATAATGCCATTATTTGGATGATAAGAGCCACATAAATTATGGCGCAGACAAAGAGCCTTGTGTTTACGGCATCTATTATAGCTTTTGAAGCTTGTGAAAGCTGCAGTTTTCGGATGATAAAAGGCAGCTGGAGAGGGGAGTCTTTCCCCACAAGTTTCTCTGTTAACAAATGTCCAAGGCTTAAACAGAGAGATACTGAACCACCTGTCCATATTTTTGGGTGGGGAAATGTTGTAAGGTAAAAGAAGGAAGAAAGGAAGGAAGGAAGGAAGGAAGGAAGGAAGGAAGGAAGAAAGAAAGAAAGAAAGAAAGAAAGAAAGAAAGAAAGAAAGAAAAGGCTGGATAGTGCTGGAGTTCTTTGTTAAAGTTGCCAGATAATTTTAAATCACCAGAGCATGTACTTTTTAGCATGCGATTTTAGTAAGAATGATTATTTTCAACTTACAGTCGTACCTTGGAAGTCGAACAGAATCTGTTCTGGAAGTCCGTTCGACTTCCAAAACTTTTGGAAACCAAAGTGCAGCTTCTGATTGGTTGTAGGAAGCTCCTGCAGCCAATTGGAAGCTGCGGAAATGCCATCAGATGTTCAGGTTCCAAAAATCGTTTGAAAACAGGAACACTCACTTCCGGGTTTTGATCGTTCGGGAGTCGATTGGTTCAGGAGCCAAGGCGTTTGAGATTCAAAGTACTACTGTACTGATTTCAATTCTATCTCAAAAGTTTATGTAACGTGCTTTTGAGGGCTGCTTTTAAAAGTATGTTTTAATGAATATTCTAGATTCCTTTGTAAACCACTAGCAGAGAGAGAGAGAGAGAAGAAATGGATAAGACAACGCCCTGAATTTCACCCGTTTGCTTTTGGCAGGAATCGTGCAATCGTCCCCAGCCATCCTTGGCTAGTTACGAGGACTGATTCCTAAGTTTGCACCAGCTCATGAATCTGTCTAGATTTCCATTTGAAAAAATTAAAATCTTTCCATTTCATTGACCCCATGATAAGGCTCATTTTGAAATTAATATGGAAGGGAAGTGTTGGGTGTTCAGCACCCCAATCAACTACCCAGCTAATGCATAATGAGGAAGGGGAGGAGGACAAATAACTGTTCAGCTTTCACTGTGTTTTAGGCGCTTTTAAAGATTAAATTAATGAATTTTTAATTACCGTATTTTTTGCTCTATAAGACTCACTTTTTCCCTCCTAAAAAGTAAGGGGAAATGTGTGTGCGTCTTATGGAGCGAATGCAGGCTGTGCAGCTATCCCAGAAGCCAGAACAGCAAGAGGGATTGCTGTTTTCACTGCGTAGCGATCCCTCTTGCTGTTCTGGCTTCTGAGATTCAGAATATTTTTTTTCTTGTTTCCCTCCTCCAAAAACTAGGTGCGTCTTGTGGTCTGGTGCGTCTTATAGAGCAAAAAATATGGAAAACGGTTTCTGCAGTTTTCTAAATAAAATAGAGAGTTGCTCACCTTTAGTTGGGCAGATGTGCAGCAAGTTGGAGGAGATGCTTTTCTGATCTGCTGGATTGGTGACCAGGCAGGTGATGTTGGGCTCTGAGGAGTTGAGCTTCCAGAACAAGTGGAGACTGTTGCCATTGCCAGAGAGGTGATATGACTTTGAACCATCTTCTAAGTCCCTGAAGGCATCCCCTCCTTTCCAGGAGATGTTGAATTCCCCCTTTCCAGGCACCTGACACTGCAGGGTCACATTGCAGCCATCTGGGCTCTTGGAGACAACTTGGGAGAGGATTTTTGGTTCTGGGACTGGTTCTGTGGAAAAACATATGAAAAGCTCATATGTTTCCCAGCATAATTCAAAGTGTTGGTGCTGAACTTTAAAGCCCTAAATGGCCTCAGCACAATATACCTGAAGGAACATCTCCACCCCATTATTCAGCCCGGACACTGAGGTCCAGCTCCGATGGCCTGCTGGCATTTCCCTCCCTGTGAGAAGTGAGGTTACAGGGAACCAGGCAGAGGGCCTTCTCGGTAGTGGCGCCCGCCCTGTGGAACAGCCTCCTTCCTTGACAGATGTCACGGAAATAAACAACTATCTGACTTTTAGAAGACATCTGAAGGCAGCCCTGTTTAGGGAAGATTTAATGTTTGATCTTGCATTGTGGTTTTAATATTCTGTTGGGAGCTGCTCAGAGTGGCTGGGGAAACCCAGCCAGATGGGCAGGGTATAAATAATAAAATTATTATTATTATTATTATATCTGTGCCCACCAAAGGCTGGCTCCTTTTCCAGGCTCTATTCCACAATAAATAGACACTGATGAATAAATAAGTACTTACCATACACAGAGAGGTGGAAGGTGTAATCTTCATACTGTGTCGAAATAAACCTCACTTTAATGGAATATATGCCACTGTCATCCATTTCCAAGTCTTTGATCCTCAGGGTGGTCTCATTGGCCTTCTCCAATCTTGGCCCAAACCTGTCCTCTGGATTGGGCCTCTCCAGTTTTCCATCCCTCAATTCAGCCAGTTGAAATTTGAAACCATTTCCTCCCTGGAAATCCCACTCAATTGTTTTCAGTGTTTCCAAGGGGGGGATACTTACAGGGAGCAACACACAGCCTCCCAGGATCCCATTCAACTTCTCCTTGTGGGGATTCTGTACTTTGATATTTGCAGTACCTTAAAAAGTTCAGGAAGATGGAAAAGAAGGAAGGAAAAGGGAGAAACAAAGTCAAAGAAAGGGACAATGGTTGGAAGAGTCTCTCAGAATCACAGATTTAAAGCTTTACCAAATGTGTGGATTTGTTATTTTTACCTAACAAAATGTATAAACCACTTGATTATTTTTTTTTGCAGATAAGTTTTTATTAGTGATTATACATATTATACATACATACAAATAAACGTATACAAAATTCAATACTTAAGTTGCACAAAATCTAAACAGTCCGTAAGTCAAGAATATATTCATTTTAGGCTCTGCCGAGCCTTGGACTTCCTTCTACAACTTTGGTAAGTATCAGATAAACTTTATACTCACGTATTTTATTTCTTTCACATACTGGCCATTTACTCTTAGAGTTGTTTCCAATCCCGCTAGTGTCATTTAAGATTTAATTCCAATATATGTCCAATACTTAACCCAATTGTCATGTAGTTTCTGTTCATCTTGGTCTCTTATTCTCGCAGTTATTCTAGCGAGCTCGGCATAATTTGTTAATTTAATCTGCCAGTCGTATATATTGGGAATGACATCCATTTTCCAATTTTGCGCTAACATGATTCTTGCGGCTGTTGTGGCATATAGAAATAGTACTCTGTCTTCCTTTTTAATTTCTTTACCTGTCATTCCTAGCAGAAAAGCTTCGGGTTTTTTGGGGAACGTATACTTGAAAAATTTTTTAAGCTCATTATAAATTAATTCCCAAAAACCTTTCACTTTGCTGCATGACCACCACATATGGTAGAAGTCACCATCTGCTTCTCCACATTTCCAGCATCTTTTATTTTTTAACCTGTACATCTTAGCCAATTTCACTGGTGTAAGGTACCACCTATATATCATCTTCCATATATTTTCCTTTAGCGCCATACAAGCCGTAAATTTCATGTTAGTATTCCATAATTCTAACCATCTCTCAAAATCAATATTATAGCCAAAGTATCTTGCCCACTTAATCATGGCCTCCTTCACCTCTTCGTCTTTTGTATACCACTCTAATAATATATCATATGTTCTGGACAATACTTTGTTCTTTCCTTCAACAACTTCCACATTAAATTTAGATTTTTTATCTTCAAATCCTGCTTTCTTTTTATCTTCATTTAGCAAGTCATTTACTTGGTGATATTGCATCCACCCGGCAAGTGAGTTTTTAATCTCTTCATATGGTCTAAGCTTTATACCTTGATCCGTTTTTCTTGTAAGTTCTTCATAAGTAGCATTCTTCCCCTCCATATTCACTTTTTTAACCGTTAACACCTCTACTGGAGAAATCCACCTGGGTGTCTTCCTTTCCAATATGTTTTTATTTCTTTCCCATACTTGAAGTAATGGACCTCTAAAGATATGGTTTCGAAAGCCTCTATGTATTTTCACCTTTTCGTACCATAGGTACGAAAGGCTTTGACAATAGGTACGGATGGCATGCGTACCTAAACCACTTGATTTTAAATAGAAAAACCCTTTTAAAAATAACAAAGTTAAAAATAGGTATTTTTAAAAGTCAAGATATAATTAAAACAAATGCAAGCTGGAGCTTCCGGTTCCACTCTGCCTTAATGGAGGAAGACTCCCACAACAGCGGGAGATTGCTGGTTAAGGAAAAACAAGGATGATTAAGGGTAATTATCATTGCAAGTTCTCCCCAGGGACAGGGAGGAGCGGGCTTCCCTTGCAGTTTATCTCGGTACCTGGCTCTCATTCCGGAATGGATTGTGGGAGGCAGGGAGGCGAGGTGTACAAAAGCACTTTGTTTGCCGAAAACCCTCCTATGCCACCATTAAGAAGCAGAGGTACTCCTGTTAATTACTGCTTAATTTGGACTAAAGTACAGACACGTGCTAGAAAAGATGAGATCAAAAACTGTGGAACAAAACCAACCGCAAGGTCTTTAAGGTTTGAACTTGAGAGTTGCAAAATAACGAAGCACGGGATGGAGAAATGGAGAATTTTCTGGAACAACAATGGGATATCAGCTTCACCTAAGGCATGATGGATAACAGCAACAACCCGGGGAAAGACAGAGAAACATCTTATGAGGAAACGAAGAAACACCGAAGACAGAATAATTGCCACACACAGGAAGGAGGAGGATATAGTTTGCGTTCCTCACTTGTAATTTTATAAATCATTTAATGTGTCAACACGAATAGAAGTTATTAATACTGCAGTTGTTCTATAAGGGATTATTATTATGATTGGAATGTAATGGAAATTAATAAGATTTTGGAACGGAGAAATAAAGCAAATAATCAAGTCATCAATTCTAGCACGTGGGGGGGGCACCTTATCTAAATTATATAATTTGGTATTTGAATAATTGGTATTAATAATTGTATTATAAATTTGTATTGCATTTTATTGAGGCTATTACTGGATTGTAATTGAAAACTAATAAAAATTATTAGCAAAAAACTCAACAAAGACAAGCTAACAACATTTTGAAAAAGATTGCGGGAGTGTAATATTTCATGAAATTGAGAATATAACCAATCAAGATATAGAAATGGATTGTCATTTAGCTTTGTTAAGCAGTTTCTCAAACAGCAATAAGAAGGTGAGAAGTAAAGCGTTGATTGGTCATCTTTTAAGGGGAGGCAAAGTGAAGAACTACCTGTTTTTGGAGGACTTAGAAGGAGCTACACCAGAATATTGGTATATTGAAAAGGTTGAGGAGACAGCTTCAGTTGAAAGGTTGATCAATAAATTGAAATTTGCTGGGAGGGCTAAACAGAGGGTATGTTTTGGATCAGAATAGTTTGATTCTGTAATTTATATGAATAGGAGAGTGAGAGATGTAATGTCACCATCTTAGTCTGCGACTTTAATTGATTAAACTCATTATAGTTTAATTAATTACTTGATTGCAATATATTGTCCACCCTTCGCTCTAAGGTCCCAGGGTGACTGACAAGGATTAAAACACATTAACATTAAATCATAATATTGCACAATATCTTTTGTGATTTCTGCTTGCCTATTAATTTCAGGAACTGACCTTTACTCAAGCTTTTAAGTTATGCTCTTTGTACGTTTCTGTGGATAAAAAAGATAAAAAAATAAAAAGGTTTCTGGGAGCCCCGCCCTCGATTAAAACACATGCCAAATTCTGTATGTCTGGGTAAGGTTGCCTGGATGGAGGGGTTTTAACCATTAAGGACACCTGTCTGATGCAAAATAGCAGCGAGTTCCAAAGTCTAGGTTCTGCCACATTAAAAGATTGATTTCTTGCAGGTGTGAAATGAATATTATGTGGCACTTGTAAGTAGTACCAATTCAAGAGCTGATATGGATTAAGGTGATCCTTCACATAAACTGGTCTCAAGCTATTGCGGGCTTTATGTACCAGTAGAAATGCCTTAAATTTAGTCCCATAACATAACGCCAGCCAATGCAGATCTCTGAGGAGAGGTGTTAAATGTGGCCAGGGTCTCACTCATATCAGCAGCTATACACTAACTGCAGCTTTTAGTTCAAGCGCAAGAGGAGACCCACTCAGAGTGCACTGGATATCATTATTCAATTCTGAAAGGTGCTTTGTCAGACTGCAGAAGCATCATGGCTAACTGCCTTTTAAACACAAATCAGCCTGATATCTGCCTTCAAGAATAAACCCAGGACTGAGTCTTTGAAAGATCGCTTGCGGGACCAGCTTTCCCCAGCTAAAGCTGAAATGAAATTTCCTGCAAAGAAGAATCCCTCCATTTTGAGAGGAAGAAAACTGCGGCATCTCACTCTGTTCCAACCCTAAAATGCACTTGCTTGAGAAGGAAGCAGTACTGTTTCAAACGATTTTATAGTCGGCGGCCTCTGCATCCATCCATTACAGCACAGGGAGTCTCCCGGCTGCATCCCCTCTGTTGTTTGCGTTTTTAGATGCTACCAAATAACAGAACCATGAAGGGATTGTGAGGCCGCTTCAGCAGACAGAGAGGCCTTCTACACAAACGTCTTTCCTGCAAAAACACGCGCATATCACCTTATCAAGCCTTTGGAGGACTTACCAGAGGGAGATGAAAGCAAAGACAGAGTCAGAAGAAAGAGCTCCAGGCTTCGTTTGCAGCCATTCGCAGCCCCCTTTTGCCTGCTGCGTGGAGGACTCCTCTTCAAGACACACAGACATTGGTCGTTCATCGTAAATCCATTCAGAGGATGGGTCTGAAAGCTGTGTGAAGTGATGAGAGGTTGAGCATTTTTAGGAGGAGAAAAATTGAGGAGCTCATTTTCTCTTTGCGCCGAAAAGAGGAAGGTGGGGGCGTTTATGGAGAGGAGAGGTGTGGTTACGAGCTGGCAGCCAGCCCCTTTTTTTCGACCTCCAGCTGGGTTTTAGCTCCTTCTTAGCAGATTCTGCCAATGCACAGAATAATAGAATTGTAAGCACCGGGAGAGACCCCAACAGTCTAGCTCTAGTGCCAAATGAGAGGTATCTCCCTTCAAGTCTCTTGGAGTTCCTGCCCTCTGTCTTCACCAGAGATGGAGAAAAATGCATTCCCTTCAGACCCCATGAGCCTCTCTGCATGTCACACCCATTCCCAGACCTGCTTTGTGTGTAGAGAAACCCCTCGTTTGCAAAGGCCAAATTCGCATTCATTCCCCAGCCTGTTTTGCCTCTCTTCTCACCCACCACCGGCACGTGGTCCTCAAGTTGAACAACGTTTCCCATCCCTGTTTTAAGCCGAACAGGCTCCCATCTTCTTTCTCTGGCTCCACTTTCAAAACTTCCCTTCACTTTCCAGGGCTGATGTAAAGCTTCAAAATTCCAGCCATTAAGAACTCTGTGAAAAGTGCCCCTGGGCATGTGCAGAGGGCTGTCCCTCCCTCACCACTCAAGCGCTGCTCTCTCCAGGCGTAAAGCTGGGCAACTGGATCCCCAGGCAGAGTTTTGGAACTTCAATTTATCTCAAGGCTGAAGATGGAGTATGATGCTCCTTCCATCAATGCTGTCAGTCCTCTGGGAGAGAGAGCCGCCTTTGCAAAATGATGAAAAGCAGGCAGAGAGGAGAAAGTGTAGCAGGGCGTTCTTGGCTGTCTTCATTTGTCCCATACTTGCATGACTGCAAAAGATTCCGCCCTATGGAATCAGATTTCCTCCCATCAGATTTCAAGGAAATAAACAACGATCTGACTTTTAGTAGACATCTGAAGGCAGCCCTGTTTAGGGAAGTTTTTAATGTTTGCTGTTTTATTGTGCTTTTAATATTCTGTTGGGAGCCGCCCGGAGCGGCTGGGGAAACCCAGAAAGATGGGCGGGGTATAAATAATAAATTGTTGTTGTTGTTACAAACAGTTTTCTTAGATTTGTCTAATCCACTTTTAGAGCCATCCAAGCTGGTTCCCCTGCTGAATCTGGTGCACAGCCTTAGAATCTATCTCTGCACTCAAGGTAGCTATATTTTAAAAATTCAGAAACCCACAATAGGGTGCTAATGCTATTCATCTGGGCAGCTGAAAGATGAGAAACAGGTGTGCAGGTTTCCAGGTACTCCAGCATCAAGCAAAGGACAGCTGGTGGGTGGGAGAAATTTGCCTGCAGGTGTAGCCATCTCTGTTTACATGTTGCAAAAGATTAAGGAGGGAGGAGCAGGCAGGCATTCAAATGAGGCTGCATGAAGCATCCTTCAGCTATCAGTTTGCACTCAGGCCTCTTAAAGGTAAAGGGACCCCTGACCGTTAGGTCCAGTCATAGCTGACTCTGGGGTTGCGGCGCTCATCTCGCTTTATTGGCCAAGGGAGCCGGTGTACAGCTTCCGGGTTATGTGGCCAGCATGACTAAGCCGCTTCTGGCGAACCAGAGCAGCGCACGGAAATGCCATTTACCTTCCCGCCGGAGCTGTACCTATTTATCTACTTGCACTTTGACGTGCTTTTGAACTGCTAGGTGGGCAGGAGCAGAGACCGAGCAACGGGAGCTCACCCCGTCACGGGGATTCGAACCACCGACCTTCTGATCAGCAAGTCCTAGGCTCTGTGGTTTAACCCACAGCACCACCTGCATCCCCTCAGGCCTCTTAGGAAGTAGCAATCTCTCTCTCTCTCACACACACACAGAAGCTATTTCCCTGCGCCTAAAATCCAAAAACCAGCCATCATCCCTCAGACCTCTGCTCCATCCTTAGGCGAAACACACAAAAGTGATTCACACGTGATGTTCACTTAGAGCTTATCCACACCTACGCTTTCCAGAGATCCACACTTTTAAAGCATTTCCATGCCTGCACAAGGTTTCCCCATGAAAACCCACTCTCTGAAGCTGAATCAGAGCTAATGTCAATCCAGGTCTTCCACGGACAGATGTTTGCTCTGACTGAGCTTTAAAGAGCGGGTTGTCGTGAGGAAAGATCTGGAGCAAAGAAGAAAGAATCAACATAGAATCATGGAGTTGTAGAGTGGGAAGGGACCATGAGGGTCATCTAGTCCAACCCCCTGCAATGCAGGAATCTTTCACCCAATGTGGAGCTCAAACCCACAATCCTGGGATTAGGAATCTCCTGCTTTACCGACTGAGCTATGTGCACACCCTTCCACACTTGCGCATGTGTACCAGAGACAGCGTGTGCCTGTGTTCTGTTCAGTGGGTGGAGAAGCCTGTGGATGATCTTTTGGAAGTGAAACTTCTCCTTCCAGTATTCCTGATCTGAAATGCAATGCTGGCACAGAAGGAAAAACCCCTCCTCTGCAAAATAATGTATTTTTATGCTATAGCCACAAGGTGGCAGCTCCTGAATTCAAAATCCAACGGAAAAGACGTGTGCCAAACTTGTTCAGCTTCCGCAGCGTGCAGGTTTGTAGCAGTGCAGTTTTGTGCTGGAAGAAATTCAACTGACTCCAACTCTTCAGTCAGTTCAGTCCCTTTACTGACAGGACCAAAGCATCTCTGGGCCTATCATCTTTTCCTACTAGAAGCTCTGTGACGCTTCCACAATATTAACACGTCACTGCCATCTAGAGGGGCAACTGAATAATGCAAGAAAAGCGAGATGAAAAGTTGGAGGATTACAGCAAGACATTACAGGCCGTGCGCTGATTGGAAAGGAAGCAGTTGTCCCCCTTATAATTTTTGCAGGTGCAAACGGTATTGAGACTAGGGTCACCTTCATACCATACACTTAAAATTCTGAGATACCACTTGAAATATACTCGGAGTCGAGAGTGGATTTCATGCTCTTTATTCGGCTCATAGGGGTGAGGAGGAATGGAAGTTCCCCTAGAATGTCTGCCTTATATACATTATTTACACAATGGGCCCCAATGTGATTGGCTAATTCCAGGATTCTCCTGTAGGCCAATCAGGTTGTGGATTCACTTCCACCTGGAGCTGGATTGGGTGGCTCCTGTGGACCAACCAGACTGCTGCATTCTGGATCCTATTGTTCTAGGACCAATCAGACTGCTGCATTTTGGATCCTATTGAACTCAGTACATAACACCACTTTAAATGATCGTGCCTCCTCACTCTAGGAAGCGTAGTTTATAAAGGGGGCTGAGAAGTGTTAGGAGATCCCTGTCCCCCCTCCCTGAACTACATTTCCCAGAGTTCTTTGGAAACTGGCCCTTCCCTGTCACAGGCCATGTGGTTAATGGAACGCTTTCCCAGGCAGGTTTGGCTGGCGCCAACTTTGTCATCATTTCAGTACCAGGCAAAAACATGTTCTGTTTTCCTAGGCATTTGGGTAGCAGCAATGACATTATATGACATTGTTAAATCTCTTTTCTATTTATTGTATTACTTTATTTCTTACCTTGATTGTAAATTGCTTTGGGGCTTTCTCCCCCATCTCTATATGAAGTTCCTCTCAATGTACGAAGTTGCACTGGTCTGTTGTCACACTGTTGTTTTACATCATCAGGCAACCCTACCTCTCCTGCGAAGATTCAGTTGAACCCATGGATAACACAATCCCATTTATTTCAATGAGTCTGCTCCAAGTTACTTTAATGAACCCTATCAAGCACTTTAATCATTGATTAAACTTTGAGACAAAACAGTGCAATTGGGACACACAAACAACATTTGAGTGCCTTCAAAGGCACGGCTTAGTCATGAATCTGAAGCAAAGTGCCCTGACTCCATCACAAACAATAACATAATCGGAAAAGGTTGGGTTTGGTGGTGTAATAAACAAAAATCTGCCCTTATTCCCTTATGGGGGACACAAGAGCCCTTATAGAGTCCTTTGTAGGTTCTCCATCGGTAGGAGAAAATAACACAGGCCAAGCAGAGAATATTGAGAAGCAAAGCAGCTAGTAAGCCTGATCTTTATTGATCTGTTGCAACAGGGTGCTCCCCTCACAAGCAGGAAAGGAGGAGGACCCAGAACCCAGGTGTGCCTGCCCTTATATAGACATTTTAAATTCCCTGCCCTGGAGCTCAAGGCCACCCCTCCATACATCATACATACATCACAGAAGGGGTGTAACCCAAGACCACCACCCCTTACAAACATCATACCTACATCACAGAAAAGGTGGTCTACAAGAGAAGTTGGAATGTTGTTTTTCCTGTCTGCCAGGTTATCTGATCATGCCTTATCTGATTGCCTTTCCTGGTAGTCTGCCCATTCCTTTGGGATGGTGATTACCCAATTCCTGCCCTCCCTCCTTGCAAAGAAAACACTTGGTCAGTTTGGGAGTCAAATTGGTTTCAGGGCGGTCTTCCTGTGCTGCTCCAGACATGTGGTCCCCATATCTATGTACCTGCTAGATTGGTACATTTATGGATATATATATAAGGGTAAAGGGACCCCTGACCATTAGGTCCAGTCGTGACCGACTCTGGGGTTGCGGCGCTCATCTCACTTTATTGGCCGAGGGAGCCCGGTGTACAGCTTCTGGGTCATGTGACCAGCATGACTAAGCCGCTTCTGGCGAACCAGAGCAGCGCACGGAAACGCCGTTTACCTTCCCGCCAGAGCGGTACCTATTTATCTACTTGCACTTTGACGTGCTTTCGAACTTCTAGGTTGGCAGGAGCAGGGACCGAACAACGGAAGCTCACCCCGTCGCGGGGATTCAAACCGCTGACCTTCTAATCGGCAAGTCCTAGGCTCTGTGGTTTAACCCACAGCACCACCCGCATCCCGAATATATATATATATATGACCTTAATTTTTTTATTTCAGTGGTGTACCTATGGCCCCCAGTATGAGAGTGAATTACTCAGTTTGGGAGGGCGGGGGCAGAACAGAAAATGGGGTTTGCAGCACACAACTGCACTAAAGCAGCACTCTACTTTGGCACCGGTTTGGAGTCAATCAGGTAAGGCTGGATTTGGGGGTATATCTATGGCTCTTGGTTGACTGTCAATCACTCAGTTTTGGGATTGCAGAAAGCAGGGTTTGTGGCACAGAATGCCATCAAACCAGCACACCACTTTGACACCAGTTTGGAGGCAACCTGACAAGGTTGGGTTTTCAGCCATTTGCTTGTGACCCTGGTTCAAGTGACAATTACCTAGCTCGGGGTGGTGGTGGTG